AAGCAGGAGTTCCGCACAAACGAAACCAACACGGAGGAGCAACATAGCATATTTTTCGAACGGATGACCCATGTTACTATGCTGTGCAATCTACGTGGCGCAATCTATGTTGAGCAGCCTACGTAGCGCAGTATATGAAACGCAGTCGATGTTGTGCAACCTACGTTGTGCAAACTATGTTGTGCAACCTACGTTGTACAATCTGCGTGGTGCACTCCGTGTTGCGCAAGATAGACGCCGGGCCGACATTCTCGGATTCTGGGCCAGGCGACGGGCGGCGACGGCGACGACGCGGCCACCCGGCCGCCGCGCCCGCCCAGGCGACGGGCGGCGACGAGGCGGCGACGGGGCGGCGACGGCGACGACGCGGCCGCCAGACCGCCGAGCCGGCCCAGACGACGGGCGGCGACGAGGCGGCGACGGGGCGGCGACGGCAACGACATTGCCGCCAGACCGCGCGCCTGCCCTGGTCGCCGGCACCGAGATGAGAATCCCTCAATGACTGTTTGGAACATACAGAAAGAAGGGCCTCAAGGATTTGTCGATGATGCAGCCTGGCCTTGTCAACTTCTCGCGGCGTTGAACACTCCGACGTGGAAACCCTCGAGAGATGATCGAGCCATTGGCGTTCTCTCCAAATTGGCCAGGCCATGGCCCAGACGCCGTAGGTCGCCAAGAGCCGGATGGAGCAAGGGGCGCGCTGGGTTGCGGGGCGAGGCCGCTGCAGGACAGACACCTCTTAGAGAAGATCTGTAGAGAAGATGCGTGGGCGAGCACGTCGCGGGACATAGGAGGTCCCCATGATGCCCAGAAGAAGGAGCTTTTAGTCGAGGAATGGGTCGAACGCAAATTGCCGACGCGCTTCCTGCGCTTGAAGGGCACTGCGCGCGTCCACGCGCATCCTTCGAGACAATGCGTGCGATTCGGACATGAACCAGCCAGCAAAGAGCATGACAGCATGACCGCAGGCTTGGGAGACGCAGGTGGACTTCCCACGCTGCGCAGTGCATGACATCCTGGAGAGACGCTCGCGGGTGGACGATTTCTGGTGTCTCTCGGAGGATCGACGGCAGATTCGAAAGGGTGCTGAACGTTACCAAGAGTTCGGGGCTTTGCTTTGCGAGGAGCTGCGCCAAGGAGGGCCTAGCGAACTCCAAGAATACGACTGCCACCTCGCGCTTCGGTCTTGGGGAGGAGCTCCAGAAGGCCTTCGCAGTGGAGGGCTGCTGGGTCAAGCTGGCGAGCGCAGCTAAGGACATGGCCAGCGAAGGGGGCAGCGTCGGGCTCGGGAGACCGATGCAGGCCCTGCGCCAGAGCGGCGCAGGACAGAAGGTCCACGAGGGCTAAGCAGTTCGCCCGCGGCGCGGCTAGGAAGCGCATTGAAACTAAGTTGGCCATGACAGGGGTGACAGGGGCGCTGCCGATGGCGGACTACTCAGATATGGTGCTTAGAACAGCGACTTCGGCCGCCCGAGCTTGGGGGAGGTCTTGAGGGCAGACGCCGGCGAAGAAGTGGCCAGAAGGCTGTCTTGCCACACTGCTTGAGCTTTGCCTTGGACGGAAGGCCCCGAGCTTTCCGATCGAGCGCAGGTCGGTGGAGTCCTGGATGACAGCCGCGTTCAAGCCAGGGCTGGAGATGGAGCTGGCCAGAAGAAAGCGGAGAGCTGCAACGGCGAGAGAACAGGCGGAGAGGCATAACCGGCGTAGTCTCCGCCTTGATCGCGACGTTGCTGGACTTGTGCGGGGAACTTGCTGGGCCCCGGGATTGGCGCGGCGACAATGGTGCCCGCTTCCAAGCAACTGAATATATGATCGGCTCGGGCCCCAAAGGGTCTGGCGCCCGTGAAAGAAGCGACCTTGGAGCCCCATTGACAGGTGAATGCGGAGTTTTGCCGGCGAGCACTGGGATGATAAAGTCAGTCAGTCAGTCAGAAGCCTTGCACCAGACGGCGCGCTAGCAGAGGTGGAAAATGAATCAAATGCGACACGATTGCACTGCCGACGCCCACGCTCGCGCTGCACCGCCCTCCGGGCGGAAGTGCGCAGCCAGGCGAGCGAGCGTGCCGGCCACGCGTAAACAATTGTTCATCGCCATGTTCCCCCAGCTCTGTCGGGGCCGGCCTCTCTTCCTAAGGCCAGATGGCGCTCGCAAGTCAAAGCTATCAGGCTCAAAGACAGACAAACGCGCGGGGTCCGTGCCAGGGCGTCTTGCAAGCTTGCCCATGAAAATCATTTGTTGTTTACAGATTTGCTCGCTCAGAGGCGGCTGTCCAGCCATGCTTAGCGCGGCGCTGTTTGAGATCCTGCTAATGTAAGAATGCAGGACGCGATAAATCTTTCGAAGGCATTGGGCTTGAAACCCATCTATTCTCCTGCGTTCTGCTTGGTTCAGACACGCAGCGAACAATGCATAGGTAAGTTTGGCCACGACGCACGCGTTGAAAATGCGCACTTTCTGCGCGCGGCTTAACGTGGAATGCGACCAAACTGCGCCCAATACGTTGAAATCCTGCCTGGCGGCGCCTAAGCGCCGGCTGAGCTCCACCCCGCTACGACCGTCTGCAGACAATTGGGTGCCGAGGTAAATCAGGCGAGATTTCAGAAAAGTCTTCAGAAAGGGACGGGCCGAAGAGACGCGCAGCTTCGCATCGGTGCCCTCGAGAAAGGGCACGAACGCCCAATGGCAGGCGATGCCGAAACAGTTATGACACGAGCTTCTTGGACACGGGCGAGGATTGCATCGCCTTTGGGGGGGGCCGGCGGCAAGTGGGCCGATTCATTGCCCGAGATGAGACGTATTTGAAGAAACGGATGCCCATCGAACATAGGGCGTCTGCGCGACGAAGACTTCGCCGCAGTATTCAGCGCGTTGGCGAGGAGGGCGTTGGAAGATCGTGAAGCCCCAGCCGCGCATATGGCTACATGGTTTTCTTTCTTCGTCATGGACCAAAAATTGATGACGCGCCCGATGGTCCGTTGGGCGCGGCATTCGGGAAGGCATTGGGCATCGAGCAAGTCGCTGAGATTATTGTTGGAGGCGTTGCTTCAACAAGACTTCAAACATCGGAACCCCGCCTGTCGAGGATTGGATGGGCGTACCAGTTTATGGGAGTTTCCAAGGGGGATGACTGTGGGCATGTCTGCGTTTCGCGGCCGTGGATGTGGAACCGTGAGGAAGCATACCACCAATAGAAGGGAGCTGACTGCCTTGGCCTGCGCCTTGGAGGACCTCTTGTGCCGGAGACAAGAATGGTGTTCGTCACTGGTTCCTTCTACATGGTAGAAGAGAGTGCTCAAGATCAGTACTGATGTCATGCTTTCGGCCAACCTCGACCTGCGACAGCGTGGGTACCTTGATCAAGGACAAGTGGGGGCTGCTACACCTGGCGAAGATCGAGCCACCAGGTCGGTTCAGGATGCGCAGAGCAATTGCACGCCCTTGGGGTATTATCTGGCCGACGGCATTGCGGATGAGGCGGCAGGCTACTGTGCCAACAACATGGCGATGGACGCGCCGGTGGTGGATTCAGCGAAGCACGCTATGGCCATCGGCAGGGCGGTGCGGAAGCACCTGGTCAAAGCGTTCCTGGTGGCCACGGAAGCGGAGCCGAAGCGCCTTAGATCCACCACCGACATGGCCAAGACATACTGGCGAAGGGTACACACGTCTGCGCATGCGGTGAACACTGGGATGGGCTCGGCGTTTCATTGCCATCAATGCGGCGACTGTGCCGATGGAGGTAAGCTGGAGCCCGTTCTCAAGACACCTTCGCTTGGATGGCCTGGCCAAGGGCGATATCGGGGTGACGGTCCAAGGTGTCCCCACACACGGTTCCCATCTGCTTTGGTACTTTGCTGACTTGCATATCCATGCTTCCCTGAAGCGTGTGTGTGCGTGGGGGAAGGTATTTCCCCAGAGGGCTTGCGAACGAATGTGCTGGGACTCTTGGACACTATGGGAAGCAGACTTTGAGCAAATTGGCCTGTGGTATTTTGCCCAAGGCCAGTATGAGGTCCAACGGCGTGGAACGCAAGACAAGTGACGACCAGCTCCAGGACAACATTGTTGATGATGAGACCATGTGCAACCTGGGAGGTCCTGGGTCGGAGGCTGTCCCCGCGGGCCCACAAGAAGGGCGAGGCCACGAGGTGCACGGGCAAGAACATCTGGATGAACGTGCGGACGATGGCATGGAGGCTGAGACTCTGTCACCTGAAAGGTCTTCGGTCGGGGGCTGTCCCCGCGGACCATCGCGAAGATCGACCTCATACGACTTACTCCCAAGGCTCGGCTCAAGACGTCGAGGACCTCTGGGCAGACCCGTCTTTGCGCTCCCCGTCTTCGGGGGGTTGGAGTCGCCAGGACGGGGAGGCCATGGAACAGAACGCTTCTCTTCTGAGTCCGGCTCTGGGCACGGAGTCACTGGGAAGTATGTGACGGCTGGAAGGCATGGGGTTGGGCGCCTGCCTCCGCGGACCCACATCCACCACCTGAAGGTGACGGGCTTGTCTCCTTGTGCCCTGGGAGCTGTACGGGGTGGGGGCCTTCCCCGTGGACCCACACGGAGGCGCTGGAGGTTTCTCTGTGCGCCTTGGTAGTGGCACGGGGTCGGGGGCATCCCCCGCGGACCCAGGGCGCCACTGCGCCCGTGCTAGTCGCTGTGCTGGCTTGCGCGTCTCTCTGCCTCCCTCTTCCTTTCCGCCTGCACTGTGCTGCCGTGGATGGTTTTCATGCCAGACAGGGTGGTGTTCGGCCCGCGGAGTACTAAATTCTGCTCATCCTCCTCCTCCACCTCCTGCTCCTCCTCCCATTCCCCCTCCCCCTCCTCAGCGTATGGCAACATGCGCGCACACACACACCATGCGAACCAGCGTACTCACAAAGTCCTCGCCGAGACCCTGCGCATACGCACGAAGGCACAGTCTATCAATCACCAACGCCGCGAGCGGCGCTCCTCCCCCTCCCGCTCCTGCTTCTACCAGGGTGGGTAAGCGATCGCCTTGCGCAGCGCCATCATCGAGGCCTTAGCGGCAACGTCGTCGCTCTCCGAGCGGGCGCCGCGCAGGCCCCTGCGGTAGAGGGTCCTTGTGTGATGGAGGGGGGCTCACGGGGGAGCAGGGGCCCAGCCAGAGATTCACCCTCGCTTCCCCTTCCCCTCTCCATCCCCCCCTCCCCCCCTCCTCCCCTGCCCCTCCCGCTCATCTCCCCCTGCCCCTCCCCCTCCTCTCCCTCCCGTTGCTGCTGATCCTCCCCCTCCCCCAGTTCCCACCCCCAGCTTCCTCATCCCCCTCCCCCGAAAAAGTCCTCCTCCTCCTCCTCCTCCTCCTCCTCCTCCACATCATCATCATCATCATCATCATCATCATCATCATCATCATCATCATCATCATCAGCATCAGCATCAGCATCAGCATCATCATCATCATCATCATTATACCATCATCATCACCATCAGCATGCTAGTCATCATCATTATCATCACCATTACCATCGACATCATCATCAGCATCATCATCACCATCATCATCAGAATTATCATCACCATCATCATTACGATCGCCATCATCATCATCATCGCTGTTATCATGCCACCGCCATCATCAACAGCACCGCATGCATTATCATCAGCATCATCAGCAGCAGCACCAGTATCATACTGTTCTCATCATAATCGTGATCGGCATCAGCATCATCAACATCGTCATCGTCAGCATCATCCTCATACACATCATCATCAGCAGCGTTATCAGCAGCATCATCATAATCATCAGCATCATCCTGATCGTCACCGTCGTCACCATCGTCACCATCATCATCAGCATCATCAGCATCATGATCATCGGCGTCATCATCAGCACCACCATCATAATCATCATCTCCAGCAGCATGATCGGCAGCATCATCCTCCTCCTACGCCTCCCCATCATCATCAGCCTCATCAGCACCCTCGTCCTCCTAGTCAGCATCAATAGCATGAACATCACCGCCGTCGCCAGCATCGTCATCATCATCCGCATCATCACCCTCCACATCGTCAGCATCATCATTATTAGCATCATCATCATCAGCATCGGCATCACCAGCAGCGTCGTCATCAGAAGCATCATCCGAAGGCTGCTTCTCCTCCTGCTCATCAGCATTATCAATCTGCATCGCCATAGTCTGCAGAATCCGCAGCATCGCCATCATAATAAGCACCGTCATCAACGTTCACATAATCATCACCATCAGCATCAGAAACGTCATCATCACCAGCATCCTCATCATCAGCGGCATCATCATCAGCATCAACAGCATCATCAGCACCACTAGCATCACCATCCGCATCACAATCATCATCAGCATAAACATCCGCATCATCGCCATCACCATCATAATCGCCATCAGCGTCATCGTACGCATCATCCTGGTCAGCGGCATAATCACCATCATCATCGGCAGGATCAGTTTCATCACCAGCGTAAGCATCAGCAACACCATTATCAGCATCAGTATCAATAGCGTCATCAACATCTATCAACATCGTCATCATCAGCATCACTATCATCATCCGCGTCATCGTCAGCATCATCATCATCGTCCGCATCATCATCAGCAGCAGCATTAGCACACGCATCACCAACAACATCGCCATCGTCACCTCCAGCAGCAGCATCATCACCATCAGCGTCCGCAGCATCATCGGCATCATCAGCATCATCCTCCTAAGAATAATCCGCATCACCGACATCAGCATCAGCAGCACCAGCATCATCACCAGCAGCAGCATCATCAACAGCATCATCACCAGCACCAGCAGTATCACCATTTACCTCATCAGCATCATCAGCGTCACCATCATCATCAACAACATCAGTACTAGCACCGTCATCATCAGCCTCATCACCATCATCCTCGTCAGCAACATCATCATCAGCATCAGCAGCAGTAGCATCATCATCATCAGCATCAGCATTATCATGAGCAGCCTCCTCTTCCTCCTGATCATCAGCATCACCATCATCATCAGCATCAGCATCATCATCATCACCAGCATCACCAGCATCGTCAGCATCACCGTCAGCATCATCACCATAATCATCGGCAGCATCATCATCAAACTCTCCTCCTCTTCATCAGCAGCCTCATCATCAGCATCGCCATAGTATCATCACCATCATCATCGACATCATCCTCATCAGCATCAGCATCATCATAACCATCATCGTCAGCATCATCATCATCCTCATCATCATCAGCAGCATCATCAGTATCAGCATTATCTTCAGCAGTATAATCCTCCTTCTGCTCCTCATCATCATTACCATTATAGATGGCATCCTCAGCATCATCATCATCATGATCATAATCATTATCATCATCACCACAACACCATCATCAGCATCACACTCATCATCCTCATCAGCATCGACATCATCATTATCCACATCCTCATCATCATCATCCGCATCATCATCATCAGCAGCATTATCACCAACGTCATCATCAGCATCATCATCATCAGCATCATCGGCATCATCATCATCATCATCAGCAGCATCGCCATCATCACCATCGTCATCATAATCATCAGAATTTTCAGCATCATCAGTATTATCACCATCCTCCTCCAGCTCATCCATCAGCAGCAGCATCATCATCAGCATCATAGTCACAGTCGGCATCATCATCATCATCACCATCATCATCAGTATCACCACCAGCTTCATCATCATCATCATCATCATCATCATCATCATCCTGCTCCTCCTCCTCCTCATCATCAACACCAGCATCACAAATATCATCATCATCATCACCAGCATCATCTGCATCATCACCATTAGCATCACCAGCATCCATCATCAGCATCATCAGCATCATCATCGTCATCGGCATCATCAGCATCATCATCATCATTACCATGACCATCACCATCATCATCACCAGCATCATCATTATCACCATCATAATCATCATCGTCTTCGTCATCGTCAACGTCATCATCATCATCATCATCATCATCATCATCATCATCATCATCATCATCATCATCATCATCATCATCACCATCACCATTATCATCATCACTCGCTTCCTCCCCTGCCTGCTCCCCGTGGGCGGGCCTCCCACCTCCTCTCTCTGCCAATGCCTCCCTCGCCCTCGACCTCCTCCTCCGGAGGCCTCGGGACGCCTACTGAGGCGCCCGGGGGGCCGAAGGGGGGCACAAACGCGTCGAATGGGCAAAGAACGAGCCGCATCCTCCAACTTCCGTTTGCTCCTCCTCCTCCACCTCCTTCTCCTGCTCATCCCTCTCACCATCATCCTGCTCTTGCTCGCCGCCGCCGTCATCGGCGGAGTTGCCGCCAGGAACGGCGCCGGCGGTATCATCGATCTCCTCGTCTTCCGCGTTCTCCTTCTCCTCGTAAGTCCTTCTCCTCCTCTTCGTCCTCCTTCTCCTCCTCGTCCTACTTCTGGTCCTCCTCCTCCTTCTTTTCCGCCTCCTCCTCCCCTCATCCACAGAAGTCCGCCACCGTGACGTATGCACTGAGTGGAGTGCCCTCAGTCCCCTTCGAGGTCTCCATGGTGAGTACAATAATAACCCTAAGGAACGCCAGCTATGGTACAACGTGGCACTTCTGGCCACGGTGAGTCTCGACCGCGAATAGGTTCGCCGACCTAGATCAAAGGAACAGTCCCCACATCAGAGCTCTCCTGAGCCCAAAGTGGTTCCTATCTCAGCGTGTTGCATGTACTCTGAGTTCTCTTCAGGCGGCCCAGCTCGCGGATTGCCTGGGGCGTGGCGCGTGACTATTGGGCCGCCCCGCGCGACTTTCTTCCGAATTGGTCCCACCGAGACCGCCGGGAGGCTCTAGAGGCGCCATAGAAGCCCATAGAGACCTCCAAGTGGCCCCACAGAGGCCCTCCAAACGCCCCAAGAGACCCCGGGAGGCCTCCAAGAGGCATCCCACGAGCTCGTCTCAAGAGACCCTGTGAGGCGCCCAAAAGGACTCTGACTCCAAACCCAGGCACTGTGATAGGATGGGCCGACGGCCGCAAAATTCCGCCGCCGCCCCCGTAGCATACTGGATGAATGTTGACGTGACAGGCCTTTCAAATCCCGCTGACTGTTCTAAAAGGTTCTCGGTGGCCTCTGCCACCAGGCTGGCCCCGCGTCAGTGACAGATCCAAGACGACCAAGATGGCCGCAGATGGCCTCCAACACGGTCCAGGGACACCAAAGATGGACCCCAACGAACCCAAAACGTCCCCAATATTGCCTCCATACGGCCCGAGATGGTTCAAGACGGCTCCATATGTACTGAAGACGACCCAAGAGGGCTCCAAGAGGCCCTCTTGGATGACGCGAAGAAGCCAAAAGCATTGATCACAGGATTATCAAATTCCCGCCTCCGCGGGCGTCCGACGGCCAGATGACGGCCCCATATGCCTCTAAAGGAGCCCGCAGACGGCCCCAGAAACCCCCAAGAGGGCGCCAAGATGGGCCACTCAGGCGCCAGGGCTGCCCACGAGGCCCTCCAGGAGAGCCCCAAAACGTCCCTAAAGCTCCCCAAGAAGCCCCACGAGAGCTCCAAGACAACCTCAGGACGGCCCCAGGGACCTACATGACGCCCCGGCATGCTCCCCAAGGAGGGCCTCACGGTGGCCCAGAGAAGCTTGTAGGGGCCCCATGCAGGCCCCGAGAGGCATCCAAAAGTCCTCCTTTTCCTCCGTTTCCTCCCGCCGCCTCCTCCGCCTCCTCCTCCTCCTCCTCCTCCGAGTGACTCACTCACTCTCGCGGCTGATGTGGGTTAGATCCTGAAGCCGTCCCCAGCCCTGCCCCCCCAAACAGGGAGGCAGGGCCGGTTTTGAAAGGTGGCGCCACTCGCCGAAAAGGGGAGGCTACCCCAGGAGGCGAGGGAGAAACGCGGAGGGGGACGACGCGGGAGGACAGCAACAAGAAAAGGAGCAAACAGGGGAGGGCAAGCACGCATGACGAGGCGGGGGAGGCGAGGGAGAGGTCCCAGCGATTCACCGAATCCCACGAGAGCCCCCCGGTATAAGTGCGGGGACGCAAGACAGAGAGGCGGCGGTGGAATGAAAT